GCCAGTAGTTCCTGAGATAGGGTTAGGTTTTCTTACCCACTGCCCCACATTTATGTTGAGATTTTATTCAGTTTGAGCTCATGAAGGACTTTTCCATGCTAAGAAATCAGTTTAATACTGTATCTGTCTAGCAGACTAGTTGTAATTGGGCTTTCTCCCATGGCCTGTGGCTATCCAGCCTGCAGTTCCTTGGTTTGATATCGTTGTCAGGTATGGGCTCCAGTCTATGAAGCAGATCTTAAGGCTCATTTTTACTGGCTAGTTTCCACAGTGCTGGAAGGTGCTATGCAAGCTACCAGAAGAGAACATTTAGTATGATCCTCACCTATCTGTGAATCCTGTGAGGTAAAACAACTGGCCTGGAAAGATGTGCCCATCAGTGCAATAGTGGCACGAATATTATAGAAGCAATTAACTGCTTTCTAAAAGGTAGTTGTAATACCTCCAAAATTATTTTAAATTCTAATTTTTAAAAATAAAATAATCAATTACAGAAGAAATAATTTCACTTACATTTGTGCACTTGATTTCTATTTGGACTTTACCTCTGACATAGTTCTAATCTTGAAAATATATTATTTCTGAAGCCTTTGAATGATAATTTATATCTACAGTATCATCTCCAAGTAAGGCCTTTATGTTTTCACCCAGGGACTCTGCCCACACTCCTGGAGATAGTATTGGAAATATCTGGCATGACTATTCCAAGTCGTAACTCCTCTTGCAGACTCCTATTTTCTAAGCATATAAAACAATACAGCAGTATGATTCGTGAATGTTTAAAATTAGGAGTTTTCAGCCTGGCCTCCATAGCACGTTACAAGCCAGCTGGGGCTATAGAGATCTCTTGTCTCAAAAAGACAAACATAATTGATGTTTTCTTTTCATTTTTTATTAACATAAAAAATTAAACCTGTTAATTAGCAGACAATTTTTTTTCTAATTCCCTTTTTTACAAATATAATAAAAATGCTTTATTTTATCATCATTGTTAATATTCTTCCTTTCTGACTTATTTCAATATTACATGTGTCCCTAAAGTATATCTTTTGTAAATTTTTTATTATATTTGCAAAAGTCATTTATGAATAATACAATCATTCAATATTTGGATTCTACTACAAGGTTCTCCCTTGAGTTATAATATTTTATATTCTAATTTTTTCCCTTTTGATTCATTTTCAGAATAGTAGTTTTTTAATTTTGTAACAGCTTTTTGTTACATAATTTCCTTTATATATTTTTTTATTGGGTTTTTGTACATTTCATACAATAGATCTTAATCAAATTTACATGCCCTTCTTCCATCTGCACCCCCGCCATACCTCCTACTGGATATGAATTCTGCCATATATGTTAAAAGCCTATTCAGTCAAGCATTTATACCCAGACATCCCTCAGTGCATGTTCATCCATTGGAGTCTAGTCAGCCTATTTAGAGTGACTCCCTTAAATAATATCAACTGTCCCTCATTCCACAGTAATCAATTGCCAATAGTTCTTCAGCTAGGATTGCCCATTTCCCCAGATCTATGTTGTTTTTTTCTGATTGTGTATTGCTGTCACCATTGTTGCAAGTTCATATGAACAAGTTCACAGAGGCCCAAAAGCCTCTGTTTCCTTATATGCATGCACCAACCCTGGTTCTTACAATCTTTCTGCCTGCTGTTCTGCAATATTGTCTGAGCCATGCGTGGCTGAGGTTTAATACAGGAGGCCAATTCAAGGACATGCACTCTGTAGTCTCTTATTCTCCACACTTTGGCCAGTTGTGGCCTTTTGTGTGGATCACACTCTGCTGTATGAGGAAGCTTCACTGGTGAGAGTTGAGGGCTGCATTAGTGTTCTTTCTAGCCCCTGTTCCACTATGTGCCAGAAGCCTGAGGCTTAGAGGTTCCACATGTGTCACTCAGTGCTGGACATCTCTCAGACACAGGGTGTTGGGGTGTGACCAGTTGTGAAACTCTGTAGTAGCCTCCATCTATTGCAAAAAGAAGGTTCTTTGATGAATCTGTAAATATAAGGATCCATATTCAGCATAGAGTAAGAAATTTCATTTGTCTAGAGATATGACAGAAATGTATTAACTAAACCCCCACCCCCTTGAAAAATACAATATCTGAGCATGAGTGCATGTGTACACCTGAAAGCTATATAACAAGAAACACAGTGCCAGACAGGACAAACTTCCCTTGGAATTGTGAGTCAGGGTATTCCAAGAGACTCTCAAAATAACACAGGCTATTGCCACAGCCCTTGATTACCTCCCAGAACTTGAAGATATACCCTACTGCTGAAGACAGGATACTTTGGACATAGAACTTGGAGCAATGGAGCTGGAACAAACCTGGAAGCCTTCACCCTGAAGGCTAGCTCTCATAACTCTAGAGGGTGCTAGGCAAACTACTAAAGGAGAAGAATCAATCAGTGGTCCAACCCAGATGGAAAACCTAATAACAACAACAACTGGCACCGTAACCTACCAGTATTTGAGCAGTAGTGGCACTCTTATCTAGGGGGTAATCAACAGCTATCTAATTGGACTTAAAGCCTTCTCAGTGGGAGGGAACTCATGGGTGGCACTGTAAATATAGCCAAATACACATGGCTGGAGAGGTAATAGATCCTAGAGAAAACCCTATCTCTGACACATCTCTATTCTAATTCCCTCTAAATTTTTCTTAAGAATTTCATACATGAGTAGTATATGTGCATTATTGTGCTTTATTTCTACTCTTCCGAGTCCCTTTCCAATTCCTCCCATGACCCACCTCACCCTCACACTTTCTTGTCTTGGTCCTCTTCTGTGATTATTATTGTTACATTTATATACATATATGTACATTATACATATATATACACATACATTATATATATAATGTACTGAGTCCATTTAGTGGTCCTTGAGTGTATATGTGTTTAGGGATGCACACTTGGGATTAGATAACTTCTCAAAGAGCTAGTCTCTGGAGAAAACTGATTTTCCTTCCCTCAGTATCCACTGATTGCCTATCACTCTTCATCTTGAAGTAGGAGCCCATGAAATTTTCTCCATCCTTACTGGCGTATCAACTGGTTTTGTCTTTATGCAGATCTTATTAGACTGCTGTACTGTGGAGATTTCATGGATGTAACTTCCCTATCGTGTCTAGAATGCATTAGCTAGTAGCAGGTGTCTTGTCCCTCTGACTCTCACAGTCTTTCCAGCTCCTTCTGTGATGTTCCCTGAGCCTTGGGTGTAAAGGTTGCATTATAGATTATAGATGTATTATTTAGGGTTAGGAACCTCACAGTTACTTATTCTCTGCATTTGACCAGTTGTGGAAATTTATAATAGTCTCTTTCTGTTTCAAGAAGTAGCTAAGTGTTGAGAGATATACTTGTCTGTGAATTTAAGGACACGTATTAAGAATATAGTAAGAAATTACATTGGTCTAGTAAAGTGACTGTAGTAGATTATTCTATAGGATCTATGATCTCTCAAGCCATGTATATTTGGCTGTATGATTACAGTACCATGCATAGATTCCCTCCTATTGAGTGGGCCTTATGTCCAATTAGACAGATAAAATGCCACTGTTGCATCAATAGAGATAATTTTCTGGGCCTGTCATTGTTAAGTTCACAGATTATACAGCTGGGTAGGACCATTGATTGTTTTTTTTTTTCTCCCTTAGCTTGCATATAGTATCTTTTGATGTTATTAGAACTAGTCTTTGGAGAGGAGACTTCCAGGTCAGTTCCAGCTCAATTGCTCCAAGTCCTGTGTCTGAAGTATGTTATGCCTTCAGCTATAGAGACTTTAAAATATAAATTTTTAAATCAAATTTTTGTATATTTCATACACATCTTAGTCCTCCTTATTCCATTTTCCCCTTCAGAACCATCCCATAGCCCCTCCCCCAATGGATTTCATGCATTCTGTCATTTATGTTAGGGCCTATGGAGTCAAGTTAGTGTCCCCTGCCATCTCTCAGTGCAAGTTCATCCACTGGTGTCAAGTCAGCCTATCTAGAGTCACTCCCTTAAAGAATATAGACTATAGGATCTTGCCTTTAAGTTCTGGGAGGCAATCAAGGTCTATACCAATAGCCTACATTATTTTGGAGTCTCTTGGACTACTCTGACCAACAACTTGAAGGGAGGTTTCTCTTGCCTGGCACTGTGATCTTTGTATTAAACACACACACACACACACACACACACACACACACACACACACACACACTGAGTATTTTCAGTAGGCTTTTGAAATAATACATTACTTTTTGGTGTTTTTACACCACTTACATATTATTTATCTTTCTTTCCTTTCTGCCTTCCCCAGTTACAGTACCCCCCATTTTCCCCATTTCCCATTTCTCTCTTGATAATGCCTGCTTTTACCCTCCCCTTCTCTCGAGTGCCTTCTTCCCTTTTATCACCATGGTTCCTTTTTATTTTCCTGGTTCCTATGGTTACATCAGAAGATACACTCAGATCTAAGGACTTTGACTTACAATTCACAAATAGCAGAGAACATGCATCACTTGTTTTTCTGATTCTGGGTTACCTCACTCAGTATAACAGTTTCTAGCTCCACCCATTTACCTGTACATTTCTTAGGACACTCTCCCCAAGATAAAGTTGGATACTTTAAGACACATTCTTTCACTCATTGGAAGAATTCCAATGGGTAGATTACTTACATAATTGCAAAGGTAGTTCATTCTTAGAAAAATCTGATGAATTGAATTTAAAAATTACACATTTAACTTTCGTTTACTGCACTACTAATATATACTCCTAATGATATTCTTGTCTGAGTACAGAGAAATGGATGATCCAGAAAATTCATTAAATTATTTTCATCTACTTTTCAATTATGTTTAATAATATACCTTTATTCCAAATGTCAGTGTCTCTATGAGTAAGAAAGAAGCCTATAATTTCCACTGAGCAACAGATTTCAGTTTAAGCCTCCTATTCATGTGACCTCATTGTCTGCTTGGGCCTTGCAGAACCTCCCAGCCTGGACGATGCAGGAAAGGTGCTGAATGAGACGGTGGTGGTAAGCAGCCCTGTGCAGCTGGAATGCAAGGCAGCTGGCAACCCTGTGCCTGGTGTGTTTACTTTTGCCTTCTGTAATTTATTAGCATGTCTGGGAATAATAAAATTTGTATGAGCATAAATTGCCAATTAGTAACAAAGGAGAAGTGATAGAATACATTTCAAGTGTAAAGCCGTGGCAATACCATTAAAGAGATAATATTTTTGAATTTTTCTCTTGCATTTAGCAATGTGAAAAAATTTGTTTGCTGTTGTAGAAATATGTGAATACCTTGATTGTGTTATCTGTATTGTGACCATAAGATCAACCATTGTGTTTTGCATACTTGAAAAGTA